ACTGCTTCTTCTGCTTTCCCAGCCGTATGAATGAGTTCTCGAATGAGGATTACCGTATTCATTTATCATGTATGGAAGCATGGCGTCCACCACTCGAGGATCCTAGACACAACTTTTCTATCAAAGAAAACGTTGAACAACTGGGGGGCGGGGGGGGGAAAGGGGGAAAGAAAGAGGGCTTCGAAAAACATGCCACAGCTTTTCGTGAAATTATCGCTAAAAAGTTTTTGTTCCTGGCAGTCCCTCTAAAAGTTCTGTGCTATAGTTATGGCGACACAAACAGTCGCGCCGGTTTCAGGACGGAAGGAACGAGCCCTCCCGCAGCATTTCCACCACTGGTTGTTTCCTTACCGAATCGATCACTAAGCGATCACTATTGGTAGGAAAGGGGCTGCAGGATGGCTCATTCCGCCCCTCCCCTTGTGGCACCGCCCCGACAGAATGTGACGTTTTTGACCATAGTTGTAGTTATGGATGGTTCATTTAAGAGTGTGGAGGATTTCGCTGAGAGTCAGAGGGATCAGATAATGAATGTTCTAGCAATCCGAAAATCAGGGGGATGTACTTCGCAATCCAAGACGAGCTCACGCTGAAAAGTTTGGAGTGCTTCCTGCCGGGGTTATTCACATGCCATATTTATCTCTGCGGGCCATAACCATCAATAAGGGATTGGAGAGATGCGTCGGTAGGTTCTGGTGAGATGTCAGAACATTCCATAACGAAAGCATTTTCGTTTCAAGCGTTGCTACTTCCTGTCCTCCTCATTTTTTGTCATCATCTATTCAAACCTTATTTTTTTCTCCATCACGATACTTTCACTATCTCGGAGGTGGGAAGGGCGTGGCTGCGTACTTCATTTGAAGGTGGCGACGGCTGCGCCTCTGAGGGTATATTTTCGCTTTGGGACAGTTCTAATCATGCCTTTGCCCAGGACAAGGCAGTACGAAAGTCGCCTCACAACCCACAACAAACACATCCTACGCTGTGTTCAAACGAAAGTCACGCCCTCCCCTTTCCCGGGATACTTGTAGTTAGCTGCATAATACATCTTACTAGGGCTGCTACAATAGATGATCACAACTGTCATGACGACAGAAATAGATTTCTCAGTAAAACCCGACGATCCCAAGCTTGCCCACTTACCATAGGTGAAGTCGCCTGTACATCGAGATAGACTGGAGATGGAGCTGAAGGATCCACGGCTTGAGTGGCAAGTTGGCGAGCGCAAACGCGCGCCAACGAGCTTACGCATCTGCCCCCGTCAACATTCCTGATTGAAATAGACTGGAAATCACAACGATAGCTCGACCACTAGGCTTTGTTTCTCATCTAGGGTCATCGGCGGCCTAGTAAAGGGCGCGGTTACAAAGCTGAAGGCTTGTCTAGGGAGAAGACCCAGAACAATTTGCAGACGTTACAAAAGGGACTGTTGAAAAACAAATGTTAAAACATTTCTAGGACGCTTGTTTGCCTGACGGAGAGGCATTTCGGGACGCTCCTATTCCTTTTGCTGGATATGTTAGCTAACAGGTCTCAGCAGAATGAGACCTGCAAACCCTATGGTACAAGTGAACATTTTCAGGTCTTCACAAGGAAGCATGAACAAGCTTTGCTGAGTATCATTTGGTGCCCCCACCAAGCCGAAGTGCACTCATGTTTAACCAAAAGGAAGGGTCTGGGAACCAGTGATCATCCTAAAAGCACACCTGAATGGGAGATGGACAAGGCAACCGTAGTTTGTCGCGTCGTCGCTCGCGGCTTATTGCGCGGCAATACGGCACTACGGTAAACTCCTTGTGTGCGTCGGTCTGTCCACTGAAGCAGCGAAATTCATTTGGATTCAAGAGGAGGCAAGACTTCAAGCCTTATAAATATCCACTTCTCCCGCCACTTTAACGCTCACATTCGACGGCTGGGCAGGACAACTCCCCGTGGAACACGACGTCGCTCGCCACGCCCACCGGTGCGGCAAACTACGATTGTCTTGTCACACACCCCACCTGAATTGATCAAATACTAGAACCTTGCAGCGCTACATTTAATATTCATTCAGAATTCATTTCCAAATATATGACAGGGTTGCAAAAACCGATGCCCACAACAATATCAAAAAGAAGACAATGCACATTTATATCTCCCATACTCCATACTTGGTACAATCCAATCAGCTCGTCATCACAAAGCGAGAAACAAAGATCAGAACAGGAAGCATGAGTAGAAATTGTAAATGAATTTTTTCAGACTCCTTACTATTCATGGATCAAACAGACACTGAATTAAAGTCAGTGACGTTATTTTGCCATTTACTGCCACAAATTGCAAACGAAATAGGTGAGCAGGTAATGTTGCGCGAAGGATGCAGCATAGAGAATAGGTTTACTATGAATCAGCGAACAGACTGTAGTCACAGACGCTGCTAGAAGTTGAGGCAGCAGGCACATCAGAACAACGGCGAAGGGATCACAACGTTACAGAAAAAACCGGTCTGAAGAAAATGAATTTTGATTTTCGCTGAAACTGTAACGGCAATAGCTCTGGCCCAGTTCGCAGACGGGGGGGGGGGGGGGGGCATTTTGCACTTTCGCTACTCTCTATCGACGTATTAATTGCTTTGCTAGAGTTCACAGGTTTTTTACAAGAGTTGACAACTAGTTGCCTAAAACTTTTCTGGAATCATTTCGCGGCTTAACAAGATTTCAGAGGTCTTCACTTGATGGCTCCACACGTCGATGGGAAGCAGCAGAAGGGCAAAATGCCTACCCCCCCCTCCCGTCGCCGAACTGCGCCAGGGCTCTGTTCAACTAAACTCACCCACTCACGACGTAGCGGCTACTTGTGGAAGGAGTTCTGAATGATCACTCTTTACCGAAAGTGCGTCACCACCTTGACGTGCAGCCTCTACAACGGGAAAGAAGTATGGATGTGCCATAGCTTCCCGCGCTGTCAAACGTTCCTAAATATGTGTTTATAAACATTCCACTCTACAAAGAGTGCAAAGTTGGGACTTAAAGAAACATTTCACAACTGCATTTGTCGGTAATGGGGTCCGAATATTAACTAGTTATGTCAACTGAATCATCAGTAGAGAAAAAAGCGGCAGAATTGTTGAAAATACTCCAAGTGAGGTTGCGTTTATCAGCGGTTTGAGCGCACGGCAGCGTTCTGAGCGACTAGGGAAGTGTAGACATCAACATAGCGTTTTCAGCGTCCGCCAGCGTTTTGTGCGTTCCTTGGATAGTTTGAACTTTTCGCGGACAGTCTGCTACTTTTCTAGTCGCCCAAAACGCTGTCGTACGCTCGAAACGCTGACGCAGAGTATGAACGCGCTCTGAACTTTCAAGGAAAAGAGATACAGTGGGCTTACTATGGATCAAGGACGAGGACTTGTGGAATGTGTCATTAATCCCAACAGACACGAACCTGATGATCATAACGAAGCAGCTTGTCGAGGAAATCAATGGCTTCTGGTGTGACTAGGTGCTGGTTTTCTGCATGGATGAATCTGTAAATTAATGATGAATCATATACAAGCAATAAACACATTATGAATCGATGGAAATCACCTCTCCCAACGTTTTCGAGAATGCCGTCCGAGAATATCGTTGAATCTGGGGTCCAATTCAATGTGGTATTTGTCAATGTATTCATGTAGTTCTTCTGTGCCAAGTACTTTGGCAATGCGAACAAGCTAAATATTTGGGACTAGTCGCAGGATAAATACCACAATATAAAACAATAGATCAATAAAGAAT